ACTGAGTCCTATTTTCATGTGGGTTTTGTGTGAACAGATGGACCTCTGTGATGTTGCAAGGGAGGAGTAGAAAAAGCAAACAGTCACATGTTATTGACTATTTAATGGTGTTGTTAGTGATTAAATAAAATATTTTAGTTGAAATTTACATTTAATTTTAGGAGAAATATATACTTAGGAGCAAAATGTTTCTTTCCTATTTGAATCATCTAGTCCAAAATATCATGAGAAAACTGTTTTTGGAGTAACGTGGGAACAATTTCACAAACAGATGTTTGTCATTCCACATGTTACAGACACTAGGTAGAAGCTGCACCACTGCAATCAGTAGTAGTTCTAAACAGCATAGTGACCTAATGCATTACTAGAGAGCAATTTAATTCCTCATTATCACCTAGGTCTGAGAACTGAGTTTTCACAACTTTCAAATTATTGGAAAATTATTTCCCACATAGGTAGATCTCAAGGTCAGGCCTGCCACAGTATTTGAATTGGTTTTTATCATGACAAGAATAATTTCTGTTTTATTCTACTTTAAAAGAAGATATACTGAAATATAATTAAAAACATACAATATAACCCACCCCTAAATATATGAACCTACTATATATACCCATGAAAAATTTAAAAAGTTCACACTACCCATTTGAAATATGTGATTCGGGCCAGGCGTGTTGGCTCAGACCTGTAATCCTATCACTTTGGGGAGCTGAGGTGGGTGGATGACAATTCAGGAGTTTGAGGCCAGCCTGGCCAACATAATGAAGCCCCATCTCTACTAAAAACACAAAAAATATCTCGGGAGGCTGAGGCAGGAGAATCGCTTAAACCCAGGAGGTGGAGGTTGTAGTGAGCGGAGATCTCACCAGTGTACTCCAGCCTGGGTGACAAAATGAGAGTCCATCTCAAAAATAAATAAATGCATAAATAAATAAATAAATAAAATATATGACTTAATGGCTTATGATATATTCAGAGTTGTGCATTCATCATCCCAATTTAGAACATGTTAATCACCTCGAAATAACTCTGCATCCTTTAACTATTACTTCTTATCCCCGAACAATTCCCTCATCCCTCCTGTGCTGAGCCTAAGCAACCATTAATCTACTCCTTGTCTCCATAGAGTTTCCTATTCTGGACTTCCATATTATGGAATAATATAATATGTTGAGTTTTGTGGCTGGCTTCTTTCTCTTAGCATAATGCTTTTGAGGTTCATCTAAGTTGTAGCATGCATGAATATTTAATTTCTATTTTTGGCCAAATAATATTTCATTGTATAGACTATCATCACATTTTGATTATCAATGCATCTGCTTATAGACATTTGGGTTGTTTTCACCTTTTGGTTATTATGAATAACGTTGCTATGGACATTCACATTCATGTACAAATGTGTATGCGGGTGTTTCCATTTCTTTCTTTTTTTCCTTTTTTCTTTAGATGGGGTCTCTCACTCTGTCGCCAAGGCTGCAGTGTAGTGGCGCGATCTCGGCTAACTGCAACCTCCACCTCTGGGGTTCAAGCGATTCTTGTATCTCAGCCTCCCAAGTAGCTGAGATTACAGGTGCTGTCACCACGCTCGCCTAGTATTTTTGTACTTTTAGTAGAGACGTGGTTTTGCCATGTTGGCCACGCTGGTCTCAAACTCCTGACCTCAGGTGATCTGCTCACCTTGACCTCCCAAAGTGCTGGGATTACCACCCCCCTGGCCTTGTTTTCATTGCTTTTCTCTTTCTCTTTCTTTCTTTCTCTATCCCTCTTTCTTTCTTTCTTTCCTCCTCTCTTTCTTTTTCTTTCTTCTTTTCTTTCTTTTTCTTTCTTCCTTTCTTTCCTTTCTCTCTCGCTCTCTCTTTTTTTTTTTTTTGAGAATAATCTTGCTCTTTTTGCCCAGGCTGGAGTGCAATGGCGCAATCTCGGCTCACCACAACCTCCACCTCCCAGGTTCAAGCAATTCTCCTGCCATAGCCTCCTGAGTAGCTGGCATTACAGGCATGCACCACCATGCCTGGCTAATGTTGTATTTTTAGTAGTGATGGGGTTTCTCCATGTTTGTCAGGCTGTTCTGGAACTCCCGACCTCAGGTGATCCACCAGCCTCAGTCTCCCAAAGTGCTGGGATTACAAGAGTGAGCCACCACACCCGGCGTTTTCATTTCTTAAGAATGGAATTTCTGGAGCATGTGGTATTCCTATGCTTATTTGAGGAACTACCAAGATTGTTTAACAAAGTGGCTACACCACCTTATATTCCCACACACGGTGTATTAGGATTCCAATTCTTCTGTATTCTCCCAATACTTGTTATCTAACTTTTTTATTATAACCATTCTAGTGGGTGTGAAGTAGTGTCTTGTAATTTTGATTTGTATTTCCCATATGACTAACAATGTTGAGTATCTTTTCATGTGTCTATTGGCCACTTGCATATGTACCTTGAAGAATTCTCAAGTTAGATTTTTGCCCATTTTAATTGGGTTATTTATCTTTTTATAATGTAATTATAAGAGTTCTTTATATATTCTAGATAAAGTCTCTTATTATATGTGGATTCTTTTGCTTGGGTTTTCTGTTTTCATAGTTTAAATTGCAGTGAAGATTCAGGATATCTTTCTCAATTTTGTGTTTTTTGTTAATAACTTCTAGAAATTTGTTAATTTCCTTGCCTTTGGTTAAATCATTTAATCAATGAGGCCCAAACTGCTGGCATGAAGACCTTTCTGTGCCTTTGGCCACAGATATTGCTGCTAGACTGGATAATTTTCTTCCAAGCAGCCAATGTGTGGTAGACAGAATAACAGACAACCAAAGATGTCTATCCCCTAATTCTCTAAACCTTCAAATATGTTACCTTACATGGCAAAAGATATTTTGCAGATGTGATTAACATGTTGAAGCTGCAGTGAGCTTTGATTGAACCACTGCACTCCAGCCTGGGTGACAGAGTGAGATCCCATCTCTAAAACAAGAAGAAAAAATGACTTTTCAAAGGGGAGATTCTCCTGTATTATCTGAATGGGACAGAACACTTCCTGGCTGTGGTCAGAAAGAGCTATGACTATTGAAGAAGGGTCAGAAAAGATGCAATGTTGCTGACTTTGATGATGGACAAAGGGGACCATGAACCAAGTAAGGTGGGCAGTGTCTAGAAGAGAGAAGACAAAGAAATGCAATCTTTTCTAGAGCCACGAATGGAAGGCACCCCAGCTGATACCTTGATTTTTGATTAATAAAACCCATATTGGGCTTCTGAGCTACAGAATTGTAAGACAATGCATTTTGTTTTGGTTTTGTTTTCAGTTTTTTCCTTTTTTCATGGGAATTACATAAAATAGAATTTATTAGACTTTCTGTATTCTGTATTGCCAAAAGCCTATGACAATACCGCAAAACAGTAATGATGTCCATATGTGAAGTCATGTTTTATTCATCCCAGCTGTCAAAAAAACATTTTGATCAACTATACTAGAAGAAAGGCTGACTTATCTTTCTCTTTTCTCTATAAAAAATGTTATAAAATCATTCATAAAAAGAGGCAATCAGATAATATGTGATCAGTGAATGTGGATATGTGACAGTTGTATCAGGCAGTTAATGCACAAAACATTCTTTTTCTGGATTTTGTGGTGTTTGTAGTCTTTGTTAGCTTTTTAAAAATTTGCAATTGTTATGGATTCCTATGCTGAATGTATATTTCCATTCTTACCTATTTCTGTATGTGTAATGTTGTGTTTATTTATTTTTAATTATTAACTTTTTTTTGAGATGGAGTCTCACTGTGTCACCCAGGCTGGAGTGCAACGGAGTGGTCTTGGCTCACTGCAACCTCTGCCTCCTGGATTCAAGCAATTCTCCTGCCTCAGCCTCCCAAGTAGCTGGGATTACAGGTGCCTGCCACCATGCCCAGCTAGACAATGCATTATTATTGTTTTAATCAATAAAGTTTAAGGCAATTTTTTACAGCAGCAATAGGAAACAAGTACATAACACAAGTACAGACTCTCATGCACCCAGCAGCTGAGTCAACAGAAATTTATAATTTCCGTAAGAATAGAATTATCATAGCAATGCTGGAGAATGTCTGATTCAGCTATAATGAGTCATTTTTTTCAGAATAAAGTCACTTATGACCCATACACATATATTTTCAGCATAATTTTTAGGAAGAGTTGTCAAAGACATATGCTTAATTTTAACAGAAAACAACTGGAGCCCACCAGATTTTTTTCTACTAAATTTCCCAAATCTCTTGGTTTTAAGTGATAGGAATTCTTTCACAACATTGCCTATATTTTTCAGAAATCAGGTTTTTAATTTATAATTAAAACTAGAATAGCAACTACTATTAAATGTTTCAAAAGAAACGTGTGTATACACATATATAACATACTGTATATATGTACTTATATCACAAATATGTATTTGGGTTAGGAAAAAAGAATGAAGAAAGAGCACAGTCAATTCAATGCAACCGTAGAGTAAATCTATTCCCTACTGAGGCTTTCAGACTATTCAGACTCATTTCTGCAACAATGAATGTGACACATTGACAAGATGACAAGGTATGGGAATATAATTAGACTGATCAACTCAAAATGATTATCACTGTGGTATCTGATCCAGTTTACTTAGATCAGTGCTTCTATAATAGCTTTGGGTTTAGTGGTCTAAATTAGCTTGGTCATTGGTGTGGAGACAAATACAAACTATAAACTAAAATTTACATTTTTACATGGGGGTTTAGTTCATGCAATAGAAGTAGAAATCACAGATAAATTTCACTTTCTTAGTTAGAAAAAAAAAAAAAAAAAAAAAAAAAAAAAAAAAAAAAAAAAAAGAAAAGAAAAAAAGAATGCTACCAGTTACTGCCAATACACTATATTGGTTAAAAACTGGGGCATTACATTTAGGTAGACTTAGATTGTATTTCAGACTTTTCCTTTTATTACTTGAGAATTATGAGCAAGTTACTTAACTTTCCTAAGCTTCTGTGTTTTCATATTTAAAAAAGGAGATAATATACGAACTCTTTTAGGGTTTGGGAGAAACTTCAAAAGATAATAAATGTAAAGCACCCTGTATACCACTGTAAACTACATTTTGACTAAATCAGAAATCAATAAATAAAAGCTTAAAAATCAGATTAAACTATACATTTAGAGATGTGTGAATTTTACTGTGTATATAATATTTTAATTAAAATTATAGTTCATACGTTTAAAAAAATGAGAAATAGGCAATATAGAGATGATATGATGACTCCATGATCACCAGAGACTCTTGTATCTTTTAAGTTTACTTTTTACTATCTTAATCCTTAATGTTTCAATCATTAGTGTCCAAAAAGTTTGTGGTAATAGTCATGACATATGGATTCCAGGCAACAAGGGGCTCTTAGAGAAAGAAAAAGGGGGTCCCCTTCCTAGATGAATTATCTCCTTTTAAATAGTGTTCTTGGAGGTTAGTATAGCACTTGTACATACAGCTCATGCACTAGAACCCAGTCATATGTTCAATTTTCCAGCCAAGAAGCCTGGGAAAATGCATTGTTTTCACTAAGCAAACCCATGCCCTAAATGAAATCTGAGATTTATCATCAAAGAAGAAAAGGTAAATGGATATGAGTGGCCACTGCAAATTCCATCACAGATGGTCAATATTTCTCCAAGGGGAAAAGCTAACTTCATTACCATGCACTTTATCTCACTAAATAAATATGGTAAAGGTTTCCTCCTATTTGAACAACACAAATATATAAAGCAATTAAAAATAATTATATTAAAACAAATACTGATATATTAATGAAAGGAAGCAAAATTATATGACACTTCAAGAGAAAACAGCATTAAAGAAGACAAATAGTACGAAGGCGTAATAAAACAGGAGACAGACATTCTCACTGTATTAGCTTTCTTTCCTTCCTGATTAGACTTCACTGCAACCTTAGTGCATTACTGCTCTGTATACACTTAATGGTATACAGAACTACCTGTAAAGTACTGGTAAACAAATCGACAAGGAACTGCAACCGATTATGCAGAAACAATTTCTCATGGTTTTCCCGCTTCTATACTCCCAAGCTATTCCAGAACTAGTATTTGTGCAACTATTGACTTCATCAGTATTTTGATTGGCAAGCTTTAGGACTATTCAAATTGGTATACTGATAAAGAAAAGATGAGATATCATATTTAAAACAGAGACATGAGAAGTCCCACTGGAAAGTTTAGTATAATTTGGAATTTACACTACGTTGACAGAAACACCATACTCTAAATTTATCATAAACATTAAAATATACACTATGTAACTGATTATTTTAGTTGAATGCTGAAACCAAAGTCATTCCTAAAGTTGGAGTTTTCTTCCATTTTTGGCACAGGGGAAGGGCCCTGAATATTGGGTAATATTGGCCTCAGAAACTTGAACTCATTGGTCCCAGAAGCTCCCGACAGGCACACCTCGTACTGGTAGCTCTGGGACAGGGTCCCGGTGCCGCTCACGTCCACCAGATGCCCTGGAAAGGGACCCTCGGGCACGGAGCAGCGACTCACCAACGCCGCCCTGCTCCTCCTGCACAGCCGCACCGCCACGAACAGGAGCACCGAGAACAGGAAGAGCGACGACACCGAGGCCAACGCCACCACCAGGTA